AGTTTTGTGTGGTTTGTTTGTTTTTTTGTGACTCATCTAATTGTCTCTTGGTTGGAGTAGAGCTGTTTTTTGAATGCCTTTGAGTTCATACTAAGAGTACAGATAAGCCGAAATCGGTTTGGCTCAGTGGATAGAGTGTCGGTATGTGGACTGAAAGGTCCCAGGTTCAATTGCAGTCAAGGGGTATGTACCTTGGTTGTGGCACATCCCGGATAGGGAGTGTGAAAGAGGCAGCTGACTGATGTTTCTAGTTTTCTATCCCTTTCTCTCTGTAAAAAAAATTTTTTAAAAAAAGAACAAAAGAATACAGATACATTTTAACATCACATTTTTCTAGAAAGTTAATTTTTAAACAGGGCTTACACACCTGTATGGGCCTTTTGTGTCCTCCCCAAACAGGAGGGCTAAGCTCCCCAGCCCAGATGGCATTCTGCATAGCCAGAGCTCCTTCTCCTAGTCAGCTGTATCCTCTCTCTCTGAAACACTACCAGAGGTATAATGCCCAGTGGCAATAAATCACAAGGAGAACCAGCTAGAGAATCACTGACAGGAAAGCATCCCAGACAGCCGCTGGCCGTCTTAAACTTTACTCACAGGAGCTGTCAGCAAAACCCTGTCTCCAGGGACCATTACTTTGAGGGAACCCTGCCAATCCCAGCATTACTTGGAAGGCATGCTCTTTATGAACCTCAAATGCCTACTGTCAAACTAAACCAAAGTTCTAGAAGGCTTCAAACACTTCCAAGTCAGGAGAAGTAAACAGACTCCCAGATTCAGGTAAGCAAGGGTCTTTTTCTCTGAGTGCAAACTCCCATGAGTCAGAGCAGCCTTATAAAAATAATTTACATCCAGGATTTGGATTCCGAGGACTAGCCAGGCCCTTATAAACCTACACTTTATGTGCATCTGTCTTCCCTTGTGTGGAGGAAGGAAGAGAACTCAGTGTCTCAGGATCCTTTTGAAAATTTATTGCCCAGGACCAAAAGGCACGTGACAAATGGTCAGAAGTTAAGAGCCCCATCTCATTTGTTTGAATTCTCTCCTCCAACACCCTAAACCCCTGCTAACTTCAGAAAAGAAACATCTTGCCCCAAAGTGGCCCATGTGGGAAGCAGGGACCTAGAAATGACCCACGGCTCCTGAAAGGGAGTTATCAATACACATATGTAATCATAATGTCATTACTCTGTTTTCATTGGATGACAGAGCCTTTGCAGTATCATTTGCTCTTGGCCAACCCATGTATCATAATTATATCCCCTTTAGTCATTTCTTCACTGCAAGAACAATTCTGGAAACCATCTTGAGATGTGGTAGAAAACATTTACTTTTCACATGGAATTGCTTTTTCTGCACTTATTGTCAAAAATGATAAACAAAAAGTTTCCGGATCTTGCGATTGTTAATAAGGCTGCAATAAACATAGGGATGCAAATATTCTTTCAAATTCATGTTTGGGGATTCTTGGGATATATCTCCAGAAGATTAAATATATAAACACACACACATACACGCACACACACACACACACACACACACACAAACTCATTTGTTAAAACTCAGAAAACCATATGCTATAAAGGGTAATATTTTATGTATGTAAATGATACCTCAATGAATCCAATTTTTAAAAAAATTATTTTTTTAAAAAGTTGTGTGAGCCACCATGGAGGATTTAGGCAATATGAATGCCCATCATGAGAAAACTCTAACTATAAATGTAATAAGGTAGGTCCTTATTATAAATAGGTCCTTATTATAAATGTTTACAGGTAGGTCCAGAACCACAACATAAGCCCAGTCATATCTCAAACCTGGAACTTAGCGTTCAGAGATAACCCAGAAACATTTTTATAATTTTATTCTGCCAAACACTTTTGTTATTTAATTCCTTCATAATTTATTCGTTAATTAAACTCATTTTCCTTTGGTTGGAGTAATGAGTAGGTAGTTATGCTCGAGAGAGACAAAGCCAATTTTGAGTTTATGGACTTTTTAAATAACCTATTTTGATAACTTTGCAATCAACTTGGAAGAATAAGGGGTTTGGCAGCAACTGTTTCAAGGGTGAGCAACTGATCTCCAAGCAACCTGGATATGGGCTGGTGGCAGGGTGGAGGAAGGTTTCCACAGGGGTGTCCTCGCCCTGCATTATAGTAACGTGTCAGGAGCAAGCACAACAGCCAGGACCATTGAATTTTTTTAAAGAGAATATGGAATTTATTAGGTTTCAAATACAGAAATAAACTTATCTAAATAGGAGTGCAGAGGGGCTTTCCCACCACAATCCCATAAGAACATTTTGCACACACACATTGGCCAGTAAAGAGTAAAAAAAAAAAAAAGGCAAATCCTCAAAAATGACACATGCTCTCTATAAGAAGAAGGACGTGCTGGAGCTGCTGGTTGGAGGGGGGGAGGGCGCGTGCGCGCAGAGCACTTCTTCCCTTAGTGCATCTTCCAGTTGTTTCTCTATCTAACCCTGCTTCCAGTCAGCCAGTGCAGCATGATTTGCGCTGGCCAATGAAATCTGAGCAGAGGCCACATTTGAGACTTCAGAGTGGGAGTTTAAAAGTTAGTGAACTATTTGCCACATGCTCTTCCCACCATGACTGAGTGGACATGGAACCTCCATCAGTCGAGGTCTCTGAGGGGCAGTGATGAGCAGAGCTGCCCTAATGACCCCTGCTGGCCCAGTAGCAGGAGCAAGATATAAACTGCTATTGTTTGATGAAGGCATGGAGAGTTGGGGATTGCTTGTTACTGTAGCATTACCCAGCCTTTTCTGACAGATACATGAGTCCAGATGCTTAAAATCATTAATATATTTCAGAATAAGGTGATACATTTATTCTTCTCTTTCCAAAAGTCAGAACTAAGAATCGTTTGTAGAAACTACAAGTAGGCAGATTTTTGACTTAAGTTTCTTAAGTAAAGTTATCCAAAAGTTGCTTCATGAGGGAGAGAGCACCAGAAATGGCAGAATTTAAACAGAGACCAGATAGTCAGATGGCTTTTATGTAGCAAATTTTATGGCTTAATGAAGGAGGTCAAACATTTATGGATCACCTCTAGTGTACCAGGTATTTTAGTCACAAAGGTAAACCCAAACACATAACCGCTATCTTCAAGGAAATAACCATCAAGTACAGAAGTAGATAACCTATGCCATCTCTTTGAACACTGTGATTCAACCCAATTAGAGATAATAACATGTGCAGGGTGAAGCTGACAGCAAGCCCGAACTCACAAATAACCACGTGACACTAGAAATCCTGCTGATGCTTGGGTTGTATTATTATTTTTCAATTAGGAGCCCAAAGTATAGGGTTGACAAAAGGAAGGGAAAGGAGAGAATTGCTGGTTTTAAAGAAGGAACATTTTCCCCTTTCTCTAGTTACCATTCTTACATCTTGCAAAGCAGGCATATTATCTGACTTACATCAGGGGGGTTCCAGCAGAGGGAAGAGCACTGACTCACAGCAATCGCTACCGACCTTTTCCATCCAGCCTTTCTCCCGCCCCTAGGAGTCAGGAAGGGATCATTCCAATGCTCATTAACTCAGACTTGAAGACAAGCAATGCCCATCCTATCAGGCCTTTCTTCGGTTTACCCATCAGCTGACACCTTTCCAAAAGATCTGGAGTTGTTCCTAAAAGAACATCCGAATAGGGCTTAGAGAAATCCCGCAACCTAAGGATGAGGTGAAAATCACAAACCGAATGATTCCAAGGGACACTGCCATTATTTCCCAGCAGCACTTGCCAACAGGTCTTGCTTTTCCCTGGTGGTACCATTAGTTAAAGGTTTGTTTGTTTGTTTTAAACTTCCAAAAATCAAACAGTGGAGAGAGATGTGCTATTCTTTCCCCGGCTCTCTGCATTTTAATGGAAAAACATCTAAAACTTGGGTCAGCATTAGCTGTAATTACTCTGAGGCAGACATTTCCATTTCAGGTTATTATTGATAACGGTATTTGTGCAGAATAATATATTCGGCTGAATTTTGCAGCCAATGAGTCTAGATTCTAGACAAGGGTGGCATATCTGATTACTATTGTCCCTCAACTGAGAAGCATCAGTTTGAACTTTGAATACTGCAGCCCTGCTCAGGTCCTAAATGTCCTGAACTAAACATGTTCCTGATTTTCCTGTGAAATAAATCAATCAGGCAAGCTGGATGTCACGGCAATGCCTTCAATCAGTTCAGCGGGACATAAGTTTCTCAAAAAATACAGACAGAAGAAATTGGCTTTGGCGAGTGTTAAGAGCAGCAGGGGAAACTTGCAGCCTGTGCTAGTCTAACGTGCACCCTTAACACGCTCGCCTATTTTTAAAAAATGCAATGATATTCTTCCAGGGAGAGCTGGATCCTTGTGGTACCCAGGCCTGTGCCAAGCTCTATATACAAACACACACTTCACAAACACAGATGTGAAATGCCCATTCTGGGACATCAGGGAGGCATGGAGATTCGATTGTTTAGTCTGGTAGCTCTACACCTAAAAGTTTCAGGAACCGAACTGATGTCCGAAGAGGGAGAGGGGAGAGGGCCCGTCCTGTATTTTCATCCGGGCACTATGGAGATGACCCAATTTTTCCAGCACCAGCTTGTCCTCTGCCCTGATGACCTGAGTTGAGATTTAAGGGCCAGAGTGGGAGCCAAGCCAATTGTGTCTGGTTACTCAGAGGAGAGAGAAATCACTAAGCCTTCCTGGGCAGGCCGGGCTGACACACCCACTCAGACCCAATGGCCCTGGGTGTGGCTGGGAGGAAGGGAGACCCGCGCGCCCATTTAGATGCTGAAATTGGGGTCATGCGCTCATCCAGGTCGGGGCTGGGAGGTCATGGTATGCTCCGCGGAGGAGGATGCCCTTTCCCTCCTCCCAGTCCCCGATTCTTGTGCAAAAAGTGAGCAAAAGAAAGTTGTGCCCGGGGCCATGGCGCCCCTGGCTGCCCCGGGAAGGAGGGTAGACAGGAAGGAGACCCAGGCCCCTTACCTGGTCCTTGGGGCCGAGGTTCTGCAAAACTTCCTTGCAGGTGGCGCTGCGGATCTCCACCCCGGTGGGCGCGGGCTGCGCGGGCGCGGGCTCCCGGCTCTCCTCCCGGCCCGGGCCCCTGCGCGGGGAGTCTCCTTCGGGCCCCGATCTGCTCCCAGCGCCGCGGCCGCCGCCCTGGCTGCTCCTCGGGGTCTTGGCTCCCCGCTGCCCCACGCTCAGCGCATCGAAATCCAGCGTCTTGCTCTCGAAGGCGCCCTCCACGCTGCAGAACATGCCGCCGTACTTCTGCCGCGGGACCTGGTCCGTGGTGCCCGGGCGCGCCAGGTACACGGGCAGATCATCCTCGTGGGAGCTGTCCCAGCCTCTCCGGCCCGAGGCCATGGTCCCAGCGCGAGGGGAGCCCGGCTTCTCTTCCCCCGGCGGAAAGGGCAGCACCGGCGGCGGGCGCCCAGCCTCAGGGATGGGGCGGGAGGAGGCGCCTGAGCCTTCGCGCCAGAGGCGGCGGTGCTGCGCCCGCCGGGGCTGCCAGTCCCCCCAGCAGCCGGCGCTCCGAGCAGGTCACTGCTCCGACCTCGCTGTGGCCCTGCGCCCTTGTCCCTGCTGTGGTGGGAAGTGCAAATCCCAACTTGCGGCGCGCGTGCACACAGGGGCGCGCGCACACTCCCTGCTGGTCCTCGGAGCCCCAGATTCACACTCAGGGACTTTCCTGGCTCACACATGGACACACACACACACACACACACACACACACACACACACACACACACGCCGCCTTGCACACACCGACTCCGAGCTTGCCCCACAAACGCCAAGTCTTTCTGCCCCGCTCCTGCACTTGAACCTAGTTGGCTCAGGGGTCAAAGCCAAGTCCTGATTTATAGCCACACACCCACACAGCTCAGCTTTATCACACTCAGTCCCAGGCTTTGGTGTCCCATAATCCCAGCCTGGTCTCATCCTGATTTTAGGAGTGTCTCACAATGGCACCCTCAAATAAAGAGCTCCTGATTCGAGGGAGGTGGGAGGGGGGGAGGGGGAAGACCCTCTTAATTCATTAATAATCACAAAAACCTGTAACTGATTCGCAGACAAATCTACACTTTCTGCTTATATAGCAGCCCAGCTTTTGCTTTTATCCACCCTGATTTCGTCCCACCGACAGTTACATTACAGATCACAGGCATGTATAATAAGTCAATATATGTGAAATAATTACAATAGTGATTGGCATATTTTCCCCAGCAAAATACTTGCAAAACACTCTCAATACCCTGTCCCCATAAAAACTCAGTGTAATGCCTCATAAACTGACTCAATTTCAGATTGACCTCAGTCAGAAGCCTACACTTGGGCTCACACATAAGCTCAGATTTACCTTAAAAGATGCGCAACCAGACTTTGCCTTCCATGTTACTTCAGGTATGTGAGGATTCTACTTGCATATATGCAGCTCTCACAACCTCCTCCCCCTCCCTCCGTCCCCTCACATATATTCTAACCCAGACTTTGCCACATAAACAGGGTCCATAAACTGTGGCGTTTGGGTGGTGTCTGCATACATAGCCTAAACCCAGAACCTATGGTGCCCATGTTAAACTGGACCCCTCCGGAATGTACTCACTCATTCCTGTATTTATCCAACATGAATTAACCACTTCCTGGAATGGCTGTGTGAAACAAGGAGGGTAGGGACCCGTCTTCACCAAAAGTTTAGTCCACAGGCATCCATTTGGGTGGGGCATTTACCGTTCTGCTCAATGTATAAACTATTTTCTGAACATCCCTCACCCCAACTACACCATAAGCTTCATTGAGACAGAGATCTGATCTGTTTAGTTTATCTCTGAATATTTTGAGCCTAGAACATCTACAGGCACATAATAGGTAGTCTATAAATCCTTTTTTAATTCAGGGATAATGATGATGATAAAAATAATAATAGCAACAACATGGAACATGTATGGAGCTGTTGCTATGTGCTCATCATGATTATAATTGTTTCACCTATGTATGTTGACTCGTGTAATGCTCATAAGCATATGACAGGCTTCTTTGTGTGCATGGACACAGTCTTAGAAGGCATCTACACTAAATCTGATGACCTGAAACTCTGAACTTCAGTTTGGGAGGGCAATTAGGATATTAGAAAATGACATCTCAGGGACAAGCCTGTGACAGCCTTGAAGGTTTGGGAGATAGAAGTGGACCTGAACTCAGGTCAAAGACAAGGATGTTGACATACGGGATACTTTTTCCTATTGAGGGGAAAGGCACTTGCTTACACTACCTATGCTCTATCAAAACCATTCATGATTTCTTAAGCTGACTTCCTCTGGGCAGCTAGCTGCTCCTTTTTGACAAATGCTGATTGGTGATGGACCTAGAATTTCCTGAGAAATCAGTAACACAGGACATTCCCTCTCGCTTGCTCATGTAGGTTATGTCCAACTTCTTTCCCATTGTTGTCTGTCTATCTCTTCTCCACTCAATTCATTTATAGACTTTTAGGGGGATCCTTGCTATGTATCTTCTTTGGAACGTAATTCTAGTGGAGGGAAACAGACAATAAATAAGAACAATCAGGACAAATAGGCACAAAAGCTATGAAGAAAATAAGAGAACCACATTTCTGATAAGCTGGTCAGGAAATATAAACTCTTTGCCCCCTGACTATAAGCACCACTTCTTTGTCAGCAAGGACAATAAGGATATGAGCTAACATTTATTAGGAATCTATTCTGGGCCAGGCTCAGTGCTGTTGACTCTCCATACAATATCTTGATTATTCTTAATAACATTGCAAGTCAGATACTATAAATTCTTCTTTTACTAGTGAGGAAGTTAAGGATCTGAGTGAATGCCCAAATTATGACAGAATCACAACGGGATGCAAGATATGTGCAAAGTCTGTTTCCTTTGAGAGGGGCCCATTCTGAATGTGGGTGCTTGCGTGTAATAGCTTGTACATGTGGGCACAGGGGTGGAGATCAGCCCCATTGTTATAGCTACATTGCCTCACCACTATGCTGCATTGCATATGTTCAATAATTATATTTGTTAATGAAACATATTTAGAGTCAACAGCTCTGTATACATGTGTGTTTAATTAAAAAAGAAGACTGAAATGGAAAAGGCTGATCTGACTTCAGTTCTGTAATCATGGGGCTTTAGATCAGGTGTCTTACTTAACCTCTTGATATCTTTCTGTTCTATATTTGCCTCAGCTACCTAACAGAATTATTATGGACTTCATTCCTTTAGTAAGGCATTGTGCTAAGAATTTCATGTACGCAATGTTATGAGGTTAATTTTCATGTAAACCCCATAAAATTAGGGTGATTATTATCCTCATTTCACCAGTGGAGAATATGAGGCCTAGAAAAGTTAAGTTCCTTGTCCAAATTATCACAGCTAGTACTTCATGCCGGAGTTCACTCTACTATTATAGCTAGTTCCAGAGCCTGTGCTCTAAAAAACCACCCCTCAATAAAATTCTGTTGTAAGGATCCAAGACATAATAAATGGATGACCAGAAGTATGATGTTGACATAGGAAATAATTCTAAGTGGTTCAATTGTCCTAAGGAAAAAGTTAACTTTAATTATGACAAAAAGAAATAGCCTTGGCTGGTGTGGCTCAGTTGGTTGAGTGTTGTCCTATGCACCCATGCACTGAGGAGTTTCCAGTTCAATCCTGGTCAGGGCATATACCTAGGTTGAGGAGTCAATCCCCAATAGGGAATGTGCAGGGGATAGCCAATTGATGTTTCTCTCTCATTGATGTTTCTCTCTCTCTCTCTCTCTCTCTCTCTCTCTCTCTCTCCTTTTCTCTTTCTAAAATCAATAAAAGTACATATTTAAGACAAAAAGAGACCACCAACTATTAGCCCAGGAATTCTGTCATGTCTCTCCTTAGTAAAGTAGAGGATGTATTTCTCATGATAGCCACAAACATGAGGGCAGCATTGTGCCTGTGCCACTGGAAATCAGATTTCCCAGAGAAGGGGCTATTCAAAACAATGTACAAACATCAAGCTATTCCTATTACATGGGCAACAAAATAGAGCCTTCCACTTTTCATATACTGGCTCAAATTTGCATTTCCTGTAACTCTGCAGTAAATGACTTGCCACTTTGCATGGAGATGGCTTGTGATGTGAGCCCCTGGCATATCAGATTATAACTTTAGGGAAATGTATTCCGGAGGCGTCTCTATTACCTATAGATCAGCGGAAGGCAGACACTGCTAGACAGCAGTGGCAGCACAAAGCAATCCAGCAATCCCTAAATAGCTGTCCATGGAATACCTTTTATTCAAAATGAATTGCACTGCATTCTTATGAAGCAAAACTCTACCCAATAGAAGATAAAATTTTAATACTAAGTCTGTACCTCCATGCTCAAAGTAAGGAGAAAATGGAGGAATTATGCAGTTTACCTTGCTCAACAGTGAATGGAAATATTTCTGATAAAAATCCACCCTCTGTCTTTTTCTTCCTTAAATTGCAGATTATCTCTTTCCTATTTTATGGGAACAGAAATTAGAAACTTCATTTTTTTTTTTACTCTACTTATGGTATATAAAAGGCAGTCTTTGGAAAAGAGTCAGCTTTCTGCCTGATACATAGCAGGTGCTTAATAAATATTAGTCCTTCATTTCCTCAGACTATTTCAGATACATCATTAATATAACACAGAGTTTGCAGGGTTTGTGAAGCAAATTGACACTATAATAATGTTTGGAATATATGTTTAAAAATAACTGCTATTTTCAATATACCTCCACTGCACTCTAAGAACTCTCTTGATAGGCTGTTACTGAGTTACAGCTCAGTATTGGTAAACAAAGTGTTCATTAGAAGCCTGGAGATAGGTCATTTTTAAAATTTTAACATGTACAATGTTAAAATCAGATTATAAAATATTTTTCATAATACCAGTTGTGCATGCAGAAAAAGTCCTTGCTATTTCATAAATATATACATGTAGGGAGAAAAAAATATAAAAACACATATGAAATATTAATAGAAGATGAGTAGCAGGATTATTAGTAACTTTTGGTTTCTTCTTTCATGCATTTCTATATTTTGCAAAATCTACATGTATATATTTCATAAATATATACATGTAGGGAGAAAAAAATATAAAAACACATATGAAATATTAATAGAAGATGAGTAGCAGGATTATTATTAACTTTTGGTTTCTTCTTTCATGCATTCCTATATTTTGCAAAATCTTTCATGCATTTCTATATTTTACAAAAATAATAAGAGTTATTTTTATAATAAAAAAGTATGTTATTTTTAAAGGGGCATCCAGAATGTTATTTTACATAAAAAATACATATATTGGACATGTCAAAAATCTCTGGTGGACAAT